CCAAAATAATAAGCAGTGTAAAGCTCTAATACCGGTGATTCATTTTATCTAACAATAAAACTTTTTTTTTCAAGATTCCACAAAATCTATTCTAATTTATTGTCACTAGAGCTGTTTCGGCAGAGTGCCTTTCTCAAGTGAGCTATTTATGTTACGCATTTACACTTTATAGCTCTAAGTTTAGGAAGGAGAGCTGTTTGTTTAAAGTTGCTCATTCAGAATTATGTCTGTATTTTTTAATTTGTTAATTTCCATTGATTCTAATAAAAATAGATTAAAACCTTTATTTTGAATATGAAGAGCTTAAAATTGATTATTAAAAGAATGATTATGATCTAGATAGTGAAGTGCGTATGTAGAATCTATTTTCCTATTATTGAAGGCTCTTTTATGTTCTGTTATACGTTTGTCAAGGTTATAACCGTTTGACCGATGTAAGTTTTTGGCAGTCGTCACCTGTAAGTTTGTATACACCACTGTGTAAGTGCTTTTTCTTTTGGCTCTTGGTGTTCTGAATATATTTGCTTAAGTTGTTCTTTATGCTGAAAGCGGGCGTTATTCCTTTCTTTTTTAAGTAATTGGCTATTTTTGTTGATATCTCACCTGTGTATCTTATAGAGCAGATTATATTAATGAAATGGACAAACACATAAAAAACAAAGGAATAATGCCAGTATCTCACCAGTTTTGTAAATGTTGTTAAAGAGGATAGCCACTTTGTCAGATTTTGAGTTGTTTTATCCATACTTGTTTTATTTCAATTGATAGGTTATTCATAGGTTTACTGTTTTTGTCAACTGACCGGTTAGATGTGTTTGTTCGTGATTTTATCGATCATTTTTTTACCTTTTTATGTAAATTATAATGATCATGTTTTTTCTGCAATTCCTCCCTTTCAATGCATGTTCCCATAATCCACTTTTCCTTAGCCTCTTTTATTTTATTACTTATTAATTTCTGTTTTCTCTGTATTATGTGGGTTTTTTTATATATTTTATTGACTCATCCAAGGTCGACGACTTACTTCTTTATTTTGTAGAGTTTCGTTTTCTGTCTTTATAACAGAATCTTTGATTTTGCTCCACATAATATTCATATTCTTTGTATCTTTCATTTCTAATGTTAAACTTTTCATTTCTTGATTTATATTTCTTAAGGTGAAGCCTTAGCACGTATTTCTTTTATTTTGAGCAACCAAGTATTTATCTTAGAACTTTTGGATGTTATTATCTTTTTCCCTTAGAATTATTTTTTGAGATGGAGGTTATGATCCGATGAGCCATCTGCTCAAGGTTAAGACCTAATGCTTATAATGGAACTTTTAAATCTTATAGTTAGTATAAAGTCAATCTGATTTCTTATGCAATTTTGTTCTAAGGGAATTTTCAGTGTCCAATCTTCGGAATATTAAACCGGACATTAAACCATGGATATGTTTCCCCACTAAAAGAAGGGATCAAATGACAATAACTCGTCTTAGATTAAGTCATACCAATGCCACGCACAAGTTCTTAATTACTAAAGAATCCGAACCAAAATGTGAGCAGTGTAACTCTCGGTGAAACATGTTGTTGTAGACTGTCCAGTTTTCTCCACAGCAAGAATCAATTATGGTATCTCAATAAACTTACAGAAAGCACTTGGTGCCAATTGTTCATTCACAAATATGTTAAACTACTTAAAAGCTATTAATTTTGTTAATATATAATATATTTAATATTGTAAATCTGATTCTCGCTAATAACCATCGGGTTGATGCGAATTTGCAAATATATATATATATATATATATATATATATATATATATATATATATATTATATATATATATATAAAGTAAAATATAATAGCAAAAAAAACTTAATATGGAAATTATAATTAATATTTACTTCAAATTTAAAACTTTTTGACAGTGTATAACTTCTACGATTTACTTTGAATTGAATATATTGTGCTTCCTGAAAAGTTTGAAAAATTTTATTCAAACTTCAATTTCAATTTTTAGGTAAATTTATCATTCTGAAACTGTTTTTCATTAAAATGTTCTTTATTATGTGGAAATAATTTAGTGCCAATAAATGTTTCTCATTTGCTCTATATTACTGAGTAGGTATGATGACTTTATGGTATTATGAAAAAGGACTACTGCAAAATAACCGAATTATAGATAAAACAAATAGCTTTTTATGTCTATCATCGGCTGACTTGATAATGAATGTTGTAATGAAATTGCATCTGTTGTCGATCTACCTTGCATAAATTCAAATTACTATCCGGATAACTCGCTCTCCTGTTGTGTGCGTCTATCAGTTACTATTATTTGTGGTAATAACTCTTTAAATTAATATTCTATACTCCATTTAAGAATTATCGATAGCACGGTTTTTATGACAGAGCTGATAATACCCAAAGCAATATCATAAACCAATGAAGAAGAATTTCAAAATTATTTAAAAATTTTTTGTCTCAAAAGTTCGCTTGCTCTTTCTAGCGGCTGTTTTTTATATAATGGTCGTTATAAGGTCTACGGCGAAATCAAAATTCTCTTCGTTTTCCATGGCGACGTCATAATGTACTTGGTCGTAACATCTTCTAGTTGTTATGACGAGAAAACCCTGCACTCTTCATCTTCATTTGACTTTTTAGTTCTGTACATGTAGGACCTAATCGAATCATGTCCAGAAAGAAACTATGTAAATAAGTAATTTGTTCTTTTAAACCCACATCTGCGATGCTTTCACACCAGAAATCAGCGTCTTAGTCTGTTGTACTTTATCTATATGCGTCTCTCATTCCTGTTGCCATTAGTTTAGCATTTCGTTTTTTATTTCGGCTCTCATCTACCTACGGAAACAGGACCACCTATACTAGTGGCAGAAATAAGAGCAGCCATAATATCACTAAAAGAAGGTAGAGCTCCAGGACCAGACGGAGTACAATCTGAATTTCTTAAACTTCTTGATGATGAATCTTTAAGAGTACTATGTAAAATCTTCAATAATATCTATGACACAGGCAATATCCCAAAAGATTGGCTACTTTCAGAATTTATTACCTTACCAAAGAAACAGGGAGCAAAAAAGTGCGGAGAATATAGGCTAATAAGTCTAATGAGCCATACATTAAAACTTTTTCTTAAAATATAGATACATCGTAGAATATACAAGCTATGCGAAGAGAGAATACAAGACACACAGTTTGGATTCATGAAAGGCGTAGGTACAAGAGATGCACTGTTTAGTCTACAAGTATTATTTCAAAGATGCAGAGATATGACTTGCGATATTTACACCTGCTTTGTGGACTACCAAAAAGCATTTGATACAGTTCAACACCAAAAAATGATGGATATTCTAACAAAAGCCCAAATGGATGATAAAGATCGGCGTATAATACAAAATTTATACTGGAACCAATCAGCCACAATAAGAACGAATTTTGGAGGTGAACCAACGGAAATGATCCAGATTCTACGAGGCGTTAGACAAGGTTGTATACTTTCACCTATATTATTTAATCTATATTCAGAGGAAATATTTAGTGAAGCCTTGGAAAAATGCGAACATGGAATACTTCTAAATGGAGAACGCCTAAACAACATCCTTATGCAGACGACACCGTTATTTTTGCAGACAGTTTGAACAGTTTACAGCAACTAATAAACAAAGTAAATGAAGTAAGTGAAAGATTTGGACTTCAAGTAAATATAACAAAAACTAAATTTATGATCATCAGCAAAAATAAAGTTAGAGACGCTCAACTACTTATCAATAATACACCAGTGGACCGAGTAAAACAGTATAACTATCTTGGAACAACAGTAAATGAACAATGGGATCACTCACAGGAAATAAAATGTAGAATAGAGAAGGCTAGGAGTGCATTCAATAACATGGCCAAACTCTTTAAAAGCCACAATCTTAATCTGGAGATAAAAGTAAGGCTCCTACGATGTTATATCTTCTCAATATTGTATTACGGAGTTGAATCCTGGACACTAACTGAAGCAATGGAGAAAAAACTTGAAGCCTTCGAGATGTGGCTATACAGGCGAATTCTAAGGATATCATGGATAGACAAGATAACCAACGAGACCGTATTACGAAGAGTGGGCAAAGAAAGAGAGGTGATGTATACCATTAAAAGGAGAAAGTTGGAATATCTCGGACATATAATGAGAAACAGCACTAAATACAGATTACTGAAGGTAATCCTACAGGGTAAAGTATTCGGAAAGCGAGGAATTGATAGAAGGAGAATATCATGGTTGAAGAACCTGAGGAAATGGTTCCTCCACAACAACAACGAATCTATTTAAAGCATCAGTCAATAAAATAATTATAGCCAGAATGATTGCCAATATTCGGAACGAATAGGCACTGAAAGAAGAAGAAGAAGTCTGTTTACGAAAAATTTTAGTAAGTTGAATAATTTATGCAATTATAAAAATTCCAACAAAACTTTGTTAGACCACTTCATAGTAAAATTACTACGACACTGACCGTACCTAGGCTCGTCGGAAGGGTTGAACTGGTAGGTAAGTGCATCATCAGTGCTTATTTAGGTTTACATGTTTGAAGCCACTAAAAATCTGAGTACAAACTCTTTAAATATAATTAAATTAATTTTAAGTTAGATTGCTGCTGATAGTATTCAAAGATGTTTAAGTTATAAACGGAATTTATTCTGCGGCATCGTCAGAACTCAGCAGGTTGCTGGTCCTTACACAAATTGTATATGACTATCAACAAGTCCTCATAGACACTTTGTATAAGGGCCAGCAACCCCAGTGTACGAGTCCTACTGACTACTAATAACTACTAACTACTAATAAAAAAGTTATCTAATAAAAGACATGGCATACAGAGGAACAAAACTTGTGTTAACATAAGAATAGAGGAAACCATACAGCCAATTATAATTTTTTTGGGAAACGAAGAATTTAGTGGTGATAATGATCCGTTATATGGATATATACAATATTTTTTTAAATTTTCTTACCTCATTTTTGTCCGTTCGGATGTCAATGATTTTTGGTGGACTTGGACCGACCACTCTGTGGACTAGTCTGGGTCTGTTCTTGATGACGTTCGTAGTTATTAAGATGCAAGAGTAATTACCATAATCTTTCTCATTGTTAATCCTGACTTCTAGTGCGTTATCTGGAAATTCGCGTATGTTTGAATACTTCTCTGTATCGACAGCCACGTGGCCTTGGTAGAGCAAAACATCATCCCTCTGCCAAATGTTGATAACATCTGAAACAATAAGAAAGATTTAAATAATTTTATATTCAAACTTGACACTATCAGTATGAAGAATAATCAAAAAGAATAAAAATAAGCAAATAGAATAGAATAGAAACAAGCAAAGAGATTTAGAAGAAGATATACATTTAGAGATCATTTCAGGAAATGCATAGCAAAAATTAAGATCTTTTTTTTTCATCTCCTATTAGAAAAACCCCTTTTCTTTTAGTTCGGCTTCAGTCTCTTTAAACGATTTTTCAAAAGTGACAGTTGACAAATGTCATGTATAGGAAATAGAGACTGTTTTAAATTCTTACAAAATTATTTAATAGTTTGGAATTACTAATAGTCATCACAGACTTTCTAAAAATTAAGTTTTTAAGCTTTTAAATTAAATCTTATGTGTTCACCACATCATACAGAATGATATTAGTTTTGTAAATTGACTCAAGTCATTGATCAAGGTCAATGTATGTTCAATCTGACAGTCATCCCTAAGAAACAAGGGTTCAAATCGTTCAATAATAATATAAAGAAGAAACATGGTATTAATGTTACATGATCTGATATTTAAGTGTATTGAGAATTGTATCTCTTGATGGAAATTTGTAAGAAATTTGCATAAAAAGTTTTTTTTTTAAAGAATATATTTTCATGTTTCAATTAAGAATAACTTGTCAAATGAATTACAAAATGTTGTAAATTTATAATAAAGTTTTGAATTTTTGTTTCTTCTTTATGTGCCGTCTTCTACCGAAGGTTGGCGACCATCATACGATAGGTTTCTCTGTTTTGTGCCGCATGAATTATGTTCGCAGCTTCTGGTATTTGAAACCATTCTCTCAAGTTTCTCAGCCAGGATTTCTTCTTTCTGCCCAAACCTCTCCTAATTTTTGTTTTAAAAATATAAAATTATGAAAAAATGTAATAAGATTGCATGAGGTCACCCTTCTTCCTCTAAAGTCTCCCATAATAATTTAAAAAGAGGTTTATAATTGCAATGAGGTTGATTTGTGTGTTTAAGTAACAATCAGGGTTTAGTTTCATTTCTTTGGATATCTCAAGATCTTCCAAGAGATTCATGAGTCTAAAGTTTTTATTGGGAATATTGTGTAAAATTTTACTGTTTTCAGAAGGAGAAAAGGAAGGAAAAGGAGAAAAGGAAAAGCAAAATCCGCCTTTTATTAATAGAAAAAAAATATATCAACAAACTACAAGTTCTTCTGTCAAACTGTGTTCAGCTGCAAGTAAAACAGAATAGCATGAGCACTCTGTTTTTGAAAAGTAATTAAGTCCAATATCACAACTAAAGTATAATGATCTATTGGCATTACTGCCATAAGTTCCTACATCTTGCCATGACTTTTATAAAAACTTAAACCATACTAGTGATATCAATAGTGAATATCCAGAAGGAGACTTACCTGAGGATAAATGTTCAATACATAGATGTTTTGTATTTGTGTAGGTGAATTGTATAGTTAAATAAATTTTGTAAGTCAAAGCGTATTGTAGTTGTTATTAAGTATCCCACACTAAGTCTTACAGTTCAATAACTTTATTATAGGGATACAACACCATGTCCATTAAAAGGGTTAAAAAGAGTTAAAACACACAAAATAATAAATATTTTTAATTTTAACAAGTGCACGATGTAAAGAACAATAGATAGAATGTTCTATTAAAATATCGTTTCAACATCTTAATAAAGCCTTGTGGCAATAACACTTGTTGAAAAAAAAGTTTAAAGCTGGTCTCCTGAAAAGTTAGGAAAATGGACAAGTGTTGTATCCTTCCGAGGTACGGAAATATAAAATGGAACATCACAATACACTACACAAAGACAAACAAACACTTTAAAATTTTTGAAGATAGGCGAAGCATATTGTGATGTCCCATTTTATATTTATGACATTCTGCTCTTGTCGGATAGGCCGCAATTGACGAAGTAAGTCTATAAACGTTTATCACATAAAAACTTTTATCAACCATAAACTTCGAGTTTTTATCGAAGTTAATTAATTTCTTTATTTAAAAAAACGTTTCTTGACTTATTTCAGATGCCCCTGAAGATGATATAGTGATCGAAAATACTTGGGCAAGATTAAATTAATACTGTGCTCGATATTTGCCTTGTATATTATCAAAGTTGATATTATAATGTATAACAGGCGACTAGAAAACAAAGGTTTAATAATATCGTAATTGAGAGATAAAAATTTTATGAAAACTAAAGTTGAACAAACATCACCAATTCAATATCGGAACTTAAAACAAGAAATAGCAATCTACAAACTTCCACCATGTTAAATTTTTCCCTCTTTCCTAATTTACTCCAGAATTACGTATCCGATCCCAACCCTCTTTGATTTAGCTTTCGCTCTCTTAATATTCGGCTCCTATCTCCGGCTATAGCTCTGCCCTAAGCCTTATTGGGGAATTTCGCGTATTTTTGCCGTACAGCTACTCTTAGATTTAATTATCTAGTCTGTCAACGTAAATCATTATTTTAAGAGGCCACGTGTGCAGAGTAAACGGTATTTTCGGTAGACACAAGCCCTTTTAATTGTATCGATTGTAAGGGTAAACTTTAATATCTGGTTTGTAAATAAAGGGATGGTGAACGCTGCTGTTGGTTCATTAGGGAATAGCGAAACGTTTGCCGCTGATCTTTACTCGATGTTGTTGAAAAGTTCAGCTTGATTTTTTAAATGACAAAAAAAAATCGATATTGGACGAAAAACACACTTCAAAAGAGAGCAACATTAGTTTATTTATTAGTACAATAAAGAATTTGTAATAAATAGTATAAAAATAGGGATTTATGCAATTAGAAACCAAGAATACTTAATTAAAACGTGAATTAATAATATAAAGTTAATAGCAGTAACTTCGCCATCCACAAAAATCTTTTCCCAATGCATTTTAATTTTTATTGTTCAGACCTTACTGTATGATTTCTGTTGATTTTGATTTAATTTTCCACATACTTATCGTGGTCTTTTTCTAATTTTAATTATTCCCTATGTGATTATTCGATTATTTTGCAGGCATATATTCATCATTCATCATATATCATATTTTTGTTATATACAGATTGAACGAGTTAAATTCGGAACATATGAAATATATGTGTTTCGGCTCAACTCCGGTCTAGGTAGTTGGCCAACAAAACGTTGTCAAATAATTATATCTATTTTAAAAATCCAATACTTAAGCGGGCTGCTGGATTCTGAGCTAATTCAAGAACTCATTCATAGGTGGTCAAACCACCTATCGCTTCCTAAAGCCGGCCACTCACGGTACAGCGGTGTCGTTCGACATAATCGGACAGAGGCGTTGTTCAAATTGTTGGTATATTTGGTGCGCCCACACACCATCCTGCGCCGTGAATCAAACAATCATTTTAGCGTCTCTTACTTTGTGTATAACTAAGCGTAAAAGAAACCTAAAATAAAACGTAGATTCTGGTGCAAAGAATCCAAGATTTTGGTGCAAAATAAATCTCGTCGGCCCCTGCACCCGATTTACTGGACTGCACTGCTAATTTTAATTCTCTTTTATGGGATGCTCTAAAATTGTTAATTTTTTTTTACATACTCTTCATTCGCATCTTTGTTTACTTCTTGGAACTTTAAAACTAGAATGCCCATTGCCTGTTTTCGGGCGTTTCTATCGTGATACGTTTTACCTTTTATTCGCTATAATCATTCTTGTATTTTATATTATTCAAAAAACTCTCTTAAAAAATTCTCGCTAAATCAAGCCATTTCGATTTTCTGTAATATGATCAAAGCAAGTGTGTATTTTGAGCGGTATTGCCAATATCATTCCTCTAGAATTCTAGATGTTTCTAAAATAACTACAAACTTCTAAAATAACTACAAACCATTAAGTTTATTTTTGTTATTAGTCTGTTGTAGTAGATTGGTAAATACAATGAAAAATATAGGCAAATATCCGATCTATTTAAAGATACGAAGAAGATAACTCTCAAAAAGATCCGCAAATCGGATTATTACACGGCGATTGGCAACATTGACTTTGAGCTGCGCTCTAGACTATGGTGCGTTCTAAAAGGAGATGGATAGTTAAAACGATATTTTATACAATGTCTATCACCGGGTATGGATTTATGTTTGTAAAAGTTTTATATTGGTCCACCATTTCAAATGCAGTTCAAACAGACATATATTAAATTGTATGATCCGTTTTAAATTCGTTCAATCTGTATATTTCAAGCTGGCAAAATTACAATAGATTTTACTAACAGAAAAGTTTTATTAACATTGACTCCAGAAATTACACAAACTCAAGAATATATCTTTAGAACAAAAAATATTTTAAACTCTTTACGAAAACCATTGAAACCTATTCCCACTTAGCATAGAGAAAAGTTTAGAAACAAAAAGAAAACAGCCAACGAAGATGCGCAGACGAATTCAATCTCGGGAAACAATTGGAAATATTATTTAGAGCTCTATATACTTCATCGAGCAATAAGACAAAAGAGGGAATCTAATCCTTATGAAAAGGAGACCAAAAAAGTGGCCTCTGATGGCGGACATATCCGGAAATGCGAATGCGCGAAATTTAAATTTTCCGACACTTATCAACAGTAGCTATATAATATTTTTCAGAATGTGTCTTAGACGAGAAAGTTTTAATTAATTATTAATGATAAGAGTCTAAAATGCGACACAATTGTTAAAAAACTTCAATATAAATAAGATTTCATGTGACATTTAGGACAAACAATAACATAACCAAACTAAATTTGATGTCAAACAAGGAAAGAGACTGTCTTTCCTTGTTTAAAGTGGCCTCTAAAGATCGCACTTCCTGTCTAATATGTTTGCCCCCACTACCTTTACATTCCCTCTATTGTCTTTTTGCTCGATGATATACTTCCAGGAAAATAATTTGACGAACACGCAAGTTTTAACCCTTATGCCTGATCCAGACCAAACAGACAAAACAAAAACATTCATGTTCCGCGACAAAGTGGCGACAAATCGAAAACATTTGTTGAGACATTTCTGAACAATTTTGTTTTGTTTGCAAATTTGAAAACTTTTTCAGGTTCCGTCTCAGGTCGGTAAAGATTAAAAAGTCTGTGTTTTGCCTGTGTTTTTGACGACAAGTTGTCGGCGCAGTGTGGACGCGTGTGCGTGCCAAAACGAGTTAAGCAGTAGGAGAAATAGAATATACAATTTTTATCAAAATTAAGTGTATTTTTCTGTTATTTAGTCTCAACACAAATGTTCACTCAACTCCATCCAATTCCAACCCAAAACATTTGTACTCAAATCCACCCAGCACTGACACACAACATTCATACTCAAATCCTCCCAGCATTGACACACGTTCATACTCAACTCCTCCCAGCATTGACACACATTTATACTCAAATCCACCCAGCATTGAACATTTATACTCAAATTCACCCAACACGCAACATTCATACTCAAATCCACCCAGTGCTGATCCACAAAATTATTACTTAAATCCACCAAATACCAACACACAACCTTTATTTTCACATCCACCTAGTATTGACACAGAGCTTTCTCAGTATTCAGATCAAGAAAACGAACGAAATTGATGATGAACTTTTTGAATGTAAAAACAAGTAGACTCGTCATTATTTTGCATGTAGTATGTACCTATCGTCAACTTCTTTTGTATTAAACATTTAACCAATAAATATGGAGTTTGTTTAAGGGATATTAACAGAAAAATAGTAATGAAAAAAGTTTAACATACCTTTACATAACCACTAAGACTGTTAATTAAAGCTTTACATACTTCAGGTATTATTACAGATATTGATTGCTTTGATACTTTTGAAAGATACATTAGGCTGTGGTAGGAATCACCTGTTGCTAAAAATCTTAAAGTGATTGCTAACCTTTCTGTTACACTCATAGCTTTTCTAAAGTTAATATGTCTTTTTGCAACTGCAGGACCAACAAGGCATATTAGATTCTCAAAATCTTCGGTGGACATTCTTAAAAAAATTTGAAGCTTGATCGAATTTCACCACTTAGAGTCCAATATCATCTGCTCGCAGCTGAACTAACAATTTGTCTATCGAACAACTTTCCCGCATTTTTAGGCTTGGTCTAATTCAAAAACGTTTGGGTTTTCTTTTAGCAACCTGGGATGATGATGAGAGCAAAAAAAAAAACTTGCGGCTAGCAATAAATCTTCAGTTTCATTTTTTTTATTAAAACGCCACATGGTTAACCAACACTAAAACTTGTCGCCGGTTTATCGTGTTTTTGTTTCAGAATTGTGTTTTCGTTTTGTCTGCTTGGTCTGGACCCGGCATTATATGTATATTACACAAGAACAGAAAAAATAAACAGTCATGAGGCAACCAGCTGTTAAAATTGTGGTTTGTTATATCTTGTCCAATTTTCGTCTATGTTCTTAAATTTTATAGAATCGCTCAGTACATTCATTTTAATTTTTATAAATATTTTCCTACGAAGTTATTTTGCTAAGACCACCCACTTGTCTAGTCTACTTTGACTTACAGCGCCGTAAGAACTAACTAGTTCTTTGTTTTGACTAAATTTGACGGTCGTTTTTGGTTGCAAATATAGTAAATGATCCCCCAATGAAACAGAATTAACAGAATTAACAGAATTAACAGAATTAATAGAATTAACAAAATTGACACAATTATCAGACTACAACAAAACACGTTAAAATTGAAAAAACATTACTCACGCGGTAAAAGAGACGGAGGACGGCACCGAAGGATTTGGCAAGATTGAAGACGAAATAGTCTCGAAATGTAATTCTTGGAGTGAAAACGAAGAAGTTATTTATTGGAAGTATATTCTTGCTTTAAAAATTTATTATTCAATTGGATATATTAGGTTAAAATCATTCTTACCGTGGTTTGACACCTGGCACGGTAGCCTGACAATTTCTCCAACTTTTGCCACAAACACCTGAGGTTGCGTCCTGAACTCAGCATGTTCTTCCTCACTAACAGGTTCGCTAATGTCATCTGGACCGTCGTCTGGGTCATCTACGCCATATTCGTCATCATCGCCGTCGTTCTGCAGATCTTCGTCTAAAAGAGCTCCATAAGTGTCTTCGTCATTTTCAGGTTTTGGTTTGCCTGCAACAAAGAAGAAAAAAGTGGTGAGAGTAGTACATAGAATAATTTTATTCAGAAAGGAGTCGATCAGTTTCAAATTTATATTTGTGCGAGTTCATATTTATATTTTTGCGATAGTACGTTTTAGTCTCTTTATTTTCAGTAACTGATAGGATTATAAGTTAGTGGTCTAAGGGCTAGAAAACAAATCCTGTAATATACTATAGTTCCTATGGTATAGTATATACTAATTTATACAATTATTTATCAAGGCTACAATATTACAGAGAAATAAACTGAAAAACTACCCTTTTGGGGACAATGACCCCACCAGATATTTTAAGTTTTTTGAGTTTTATAGACCTTGATGACCAAAACCTCTGTTTCCTGCAGTGAAAGGTAAAGCATGTTGCTCGAATTTGAAGGTAATTATTTGATAAAACACGTGTAAAAGCTCTAAAATAGCGATTTACAAATGTTGATTTGCTAATTTGTTGCTTAGAAAACTGTAATAAACCTAAGGATTTTTAAGTTTCAATAAATGATGTGAAAAGTTAGTTCCTATAATTGATTCATAAATTAGTTTAAAAATTATTCAATTTGTTTATCCCAAACAACTTTTTTTTTTGCAATAAAGTAAGTCAGAAAAAATGAACTCTTGCAAAATTCGTGATCACTTCACACCTCAAGAATACTATAAATAGTGGTTAACTTTAACGAAAGTACAAGCTGAACATAGCCGCAAATGTCAACCATGGAACATAATACTTCGTTATGGCAGTGTCGACAGGTTATTGTATAGGTTGTAATGCTTTCAATATAAAAAAAACGCTTTAGAAAAGTACATTTCGATTACAATTATGTTTGAATTCAATACAATTAATATAAAACAAGAATGAGTAAATAGTTGTTGCTTTGTAGATTAATTGCAGTTAATTATTAAAAATCTTTTTGGTAATTGTCCTTTGATAGATCAGCAAATTTTACCAGATGTTTGCAATTAATCTCGAAAGAGACAAATATTTATTCGTTATTGTTTTATATAAATTAAAAATTGCAGAATTCATAAAATAATAATCACAATGTACTTAATTATTAAAAGCTTTCTCTCATATTTGAAGCATACTTCATATGCATTATAAAAACATCTTAACATTGCCAAACTGAAATATATTGTTTCATGGTTGACATTTGCGACTACATTCAGCTTAACAATATATTTTTTGCAACAAATTGACGAGTCGTCCGTGATTTAGATATGATTTGGCATCGTAGATTTTGTTTTCTTATAAGACAATAAAAAATTACAAGAATTTTTAAAAATGGATAGATTCTTCGTTGCTACAGTCCATAGTGGGGAAAGCGCTGGAAAATTGGTTGGAACACGTTGAAAAGCGTAATTATTGTTGATAATATATTAGTTATTTGTCTAAATAATAACTAGCTACTATATTAGAGCATTTTATTTTCAGTTGACAGAAAAAAATCCAAGAAAAAAATATCCAAAAAAATGTTTCGTTAAAACTGTTATCGTCAAATTAAACCCCCATTGTCGTCTCCTCTGTCGTTTAATTTTTACGACGATGATGCAATAAAAACGGTTTTGTAAAACTATTAATCAAACTGAAATATAAAAATAACATTACCGTACTAATGTGCTAACCATGTGCGTCCCAGATTCAATCCATTTTGTGACTCCATCGTTAACCCACATAAAAAACTGACATATCACGTTTTAAAATTCAACCACGAACTAAAAAAGGACCCCCATAGACAATAAATATTTTTTTAAGCACTGCTTAAGCTTTCAACTCATCCTCGACAAAGAACCTATTAGTATTTAAAAGAAATCCCCTGACAACCCCCTAGTGTTACCTCAACAAGATTCCGCGTAACCCTATATTGGATTAAGGATCAAGCGCCATATCTCATGCTTAAAATGACGCCGCGTTATTTGTTTGCCCTTTTCGCATGATATTTCGAATTTTGAAGGCAGGTAGAATAATTTTTTTTCCGATCCTGACCTTATTCAACATTGCCGTTAGACGAACCACAAACACGGGCGTATCTGTCGAGAATTAATGCTAAAATTATGTGATATAAACCATAATTTTGTTTTAATTATTTGTTTATGCATCGAAGCGAAATATTTTCAAAGCTTATTTTCGTTAGCTAAAGAAATAATAAATAAGACTTACTCACAATCAATTTAATTTAACCATCAGACGACCGGTTTCGCTTTCTATAATATTCAAAGCATCCTCAGGTCTCGATACAAAGTTAAACAAATGCTGAAATAATAAAAACCCATATTAGGGTGTTGTCTAATAACGATAAACAAAGTAGATGTTGTAAATTACAATAATTATGCCAATATTACATGTCTGTGGTTTTATTTAAAAGAGTAAGTTGAATTAAAAAGTATAAAAGTTTTAAAAGTTTAAACAGACAAGGTAAAGCCCACAAATTGTTATAAAATAGTCTATTAGATTGTAATAAATTAATAAATGAGCAAATAAATAAAATAAACATTACTTACATGCCGGTACTCTATTAATTGATGGATGGTAGAACATGGTTGAAACTACTATGTATTGTTGAATGGAGAACTCAATTCTATTATTGCAGTTGTTTGACAGTAAACGGGAAGTTCTTGAGGAGATAGATTTGATCCAATGAAGAAGAGATATGTGTGTGATTGTTTGTTAAATGAAAGTGATATAATATACCATTGTATTATTAAAAGATATTTATACTTATTCGAGAGATATATTTATGAAATGTGTGTTATTTATTGAGTAAAAAAAAACAATTACTCAATAAATAACACACATTTCATAAATATATCTCTCGAATAAGTATAAATAACTTTTAATAACACAATGGTATATAACATCACTTTCATTTAACAAACAATCACACACATATCTCTTCTTCATTGGATCAAATCTATCTCCTCAAGAACTTCCCGTTTACTGTCAAACAACTGCAATAATAGAATTGAGTTCTCCATTCAACAATACATAGTAGTTTCAACCATGTTCTACCATCCATCAATTAATAGAGTACCGGCATGTAAGTAATGTTTATTTTATTTATTTGCTCATTTATTAATTTATTACAATCTAATAGACTAGTTTATAAAAATTTGTGGGCTTTACCTTGTCTGTTTAAACTTTTAAAACTTTTATACTTTTTAATTCAACTTACTCTTTTAAATAAAACCATAGACATGTAATATTGGCATAATATAATTATTGTAATTTACAACATCTACTTTGTTTTTCGTTATTAGACAATACCCTAATATGGGTTTTTATTATTTCAGCATTTGTTTAACTTTTTATCGAGACCTGAGGATGCTTTGCATATTATAGAAATCGAAACCGGTCGTCTGATAGTTAAATTAAATTGATTGTGAGTAAGTCTTATTTATTATTTCTTTACCTATTTGAAATGGACTCACACAAGCAACACATTCATGACTTATTTTCGTTCTCAAACATTAAATTAAGATTACAAACTTATGCTAACATTAAAAAATATCTAATTTGACTAATTGCTATATTAATATATCTACGTTTTTATTATTTTATCTATTATTTCTACGGAATCTTACATCAAAGTCGCATTTGCCACCTTCTTTAAGTACTATTTTTTTTTCTTAATTATTTATTCAATTTTGGACATAGATCTGTTACCAAACTTTCTAATGCCGAGCCGCTTGGATTGTGCTGACTATTAAATTGTACTAATTTATATGCTTTGCTCTACGCTTAGCTCTATTAAGACCTTTCTGTTGTTTTACCATGGGCTAGGTGCAATTTTTTGAGTTTAACCCTATAATATATATCTACAGCTAGCGCCTCAGAAAACTGAGGTGTTAGTTCTCAAAGGGACCCGGGAAAGATCCTCTCTTCGTTTTATAGTGGAAGATGTGGAGGTTGCACCCGTTAAATCAATTAAATATCTGGGAGTCTGCTTATCGGAAGGTCTAAGGTTCGGAGTACACATTCAAAAGACAGTAGAGAAGGCAAACCGAAATCTGGAAGCGTTGATACGGTTGATGCCAAACATTGGAGGCCCAGGAAGCACCAAAAGAAAGGTGCTAACTGGAGTTTTCCAGTCGGTAGTAACCTACGCTGCTCCTGTGTAGTGTAGTGTACTAAACACTACTAAACCCTTTTTTCCGGATCGCTTCGGAGTATGCATTAAAAAGAATTTCTTACTTAGGGTGTATAAGATCTGATAAATAGAGTTTTAGCAGGGTAACTATGACTTATAATGACAACAGGTGGACACGGAGAATTCTAGAATGGAGACCAAGGACGACAACAAGAAGCATGGGAAGACCTCAAAAAAGATGGGTAGATGACATAAGAGCAGTGGCAGGCAAATAGTAGATTAGATTGGAGCAAGAGAGAGAATGATGGAAGCAATTGGGAAAAAACTATTTTACGATTGTTTAATTAGATGTCGCTACTGCGTCCGTATCGAAGCCATGTTATTGTTGCTTCTTAAAAGGCAGAAAATATTGATTTTTCACGTTGAGAACCCCCATGAATAGCTCTTCTGACGAGACCTATTAGGTCGAAATACGTATCAAGAGATACATAGGATTTGTTTGCGTGAAATCAAATATTTGCTGCCTTTTCTCATTTTATTCGGATTTACTCTGTAGAGTACAAGAAACACAATTCGCTAAGGATTTCTGCTTAGTTGTAAAAGACATGTCGTGGAATGCAAATTTTAGATTCCCCATGTCTCTTTTAACATCTTTTATCAACGTCTGTTTGCCTTGCAATTCTTAGAAGGCTCAGATTATAAAGCAGAAATCTGAATTGTGTTTCGAAACTATTTTACGATTGTTTAATTAGATGTCGCTACTGCGTCCGTATCGAAGCCATGTTATTGTTGCTTCTTAAAAGGCAGAAAATATTGATTTTTCACGTTGAGAACCCCTATGAATAGCTCTTCTGACGAGACCTATTAGGTCGAAATACGTATCAAGAGATACATAGG